AGGTGGATTTGCCCTGCCAGACCTTAAACTTTATTATGAATCAGCAGCTTTTTGCTGGTTGAAAGAATGGCTGCTTCTTGAAAACACAGACATTTTGGATTTAGAGGGTTTTAATAATGTATTTGGATGGCATGCATACTTGTGGTATGATAAGGTCAAAGCACATAAAGCATTTAAAAACCATATTGTCAGGAAAGCATTGTTTAATGTTTGGATAAGATATAAGGACCTACTGGAAAATAAAACCCCAAGGTGGCTGTCACCGATGGAAGCGAAAGCTCTGAAAAAGCTCAATATGGAGGCCAAATGGCCGAAATATTGGGAAATTTTGGAACAAGAGGGAGACAGATTGAAATTACAGAATTTTGAGAAATTAAAAAACAAAGTGCGAGACTGGCTTCATTATTATCAGATAATGGAGGCATACAATTTGGACAAGAAAATTGGCTTCCAGGTGGAAAAATCAAAATTAGAAACAGAACTGCTAGAACCCAAAACTAAGATCTTGTCAAAGATGTATAACTTGCTGTTGAAATGGAATACTCAGGATGAAACGGTGAAATCTGCTATGATTAAATGGGCACAAGATGTTGGACATAACATGATGGCTGACTGGGAACAGTTATGGACCACAGGTATGAAATTTACGGTATGTAATGCCTTAAGAGAGAATATTATGAAAATGATATACAGGTGGTACATAACCCCAGTCAAGCTTGCAAAAATCTATCACTTGCCCGATAATAAATGTTGGAAATGTAAAGAAACTGAAGGTACATTCTTTCACCTTTGGTGGACGTGCCCAAGGATTAAGGCTTTCTGGGAGATGATTTATAATGAAATGAAAAGGGTATTTAAATATACCTTTCTGAAGAAACCAGAGGCCTTCTCCTGGGCATGGTCGACCAAATGATGCTAAAGAAGGACAGAACTTTATGTATGCCACAACAGCAGCAAGAATACTTATTGCAAAGTATTGGAAGACACAAGAACTACCCACTCTGGAAGAATGGCAGATGAAGGTGATGGACTACATGGAATTGGCGGAAATGACTGGCAGAATCTGAGACCAGGGAGAAGAGTCGGTGGAAGAAGATTGGAAGAAATTTAAAGACTATTTACAGAAATATTGCAAAATTAATGAATGTTAGAAGGATGTCAGAATGAAGTTAAGTGGTTTAAGCAGCAATGTTATAAAGGTGTATGTAAAAATGGATTGTTAACAGGTGAGAATCCAAAGTTATAATATATTATGTTAAAGGATTAAGACAAAAACAAAGAGGGAAAGGAATTGCTGAATTAACTAATAGAACTGGAATACAAAAAAGCGAGGTGTGAGGAAGTCAGGGAAGTAAGGAAATGAAATGTAAGTTATGGAAAGATCTATGTGTTTTTCTTTTAAGTGTTTTTTATCTTTTTTCTGTATTTTGTATTTTGTAATTTTTTCTTTTTTATTTCCTTTCCTTTTTCTTTTCTGTTTACCTATGTAATCTTTTCTTTGAAACTTTAATAAATATCATTAAAAAGAAAGAAAGAAATAACTTAGTCAATGGAGAAGTAGAGGCCGTGCCCCCCCTCAGAGCACTACCCAGACCCCCGGCAAGAGCAGGAGACCCGCCTCACATTGTTTTCACCCACCAGCCTTTCTTCACCTTCGATTTAATGAACTGGTCGGATAAAATGCCCTCCCTCCGAGATGACCCCGATAAATGCCATCGACAAGGAGCCACTATCTTTTCCACTCATAATCCGATGTGGACTGAGGTGCACATGTCATTAGGAGCCCTTTTTAATGAAGCTGAGAAGAGGGAAATACTGCTAAAGGCAGGGGAAGCTTTGAGCAGACCTGACTATCAAGCAGACAGACCCACTGATATGCCCGTTTTGACAGCCCAAAACCTCCTGAACAACCCTGCCTGGGATTATAACACAACCGGGGGTATATGGGGTTTGAAGATATTTAAGAAAGCTATCTTGGATGGCTTGCAAGCTGCGGGACAGTGAACAGTAAACTGGACTGAAGTCCAAGGCGTCCTACAAGGACCCGATGAACACCCTTCTGATTATTATACCCGATTGGTGTCTGCAATCAAAACCTGGGGTGGGATCAACCCTGAAAGTCTACAACATGAGGTTAGTGTTAAGGGATTCTTTAAAGACCAAGCCACAGCCGACATACGCAAGGCATTAAACGCACACCTCGGCTACAACGGGAAAACAATAAATGAGATGCTCTCTACTGCCAAGTCAGTTTTTAATTAAAGAGATGAACGAAAAAGGAAGGACCAGAGGGGAGAATCCCCACAAGTGCTAGTTTACACAACCCGGGTTCCCCCTCCTAGGGAAAGGCAGAAGGGAAGAGGACATGAACAGCCAGCCAGACGTATCTGTTTCCGTTGCAATGAGGAAGGACACATCAGAAGGAACTGCCCATTATTAACCGGACACCAAGAATCCAGGCCCGGGAGATCTATAGAGAGCCAAGGACACTGAGGCTGGAATACAGGGAACCGGCTAGCCCCAGGCTCAGGGAAACTCCCCCTGATTATGGGTCCTCCCAAAGGGTGCTTCCTCCTCCTTTACCACAACCTAAGAATCTCCCCAATAGAACAGTTATGGACCACAGGTATGAAATTTACGGCATGTAATGCCTTAAGAGAGAATATTATGAAAATGATATACAGGTGGTACATAACCCCAGTCAAGCTTGCGAAAATCTATCATTTGCCCGATAACAAATGTTGGAAATGTAAAGAAACTGAAGGTACATTTTTCCACCTTTGGTGGACGTGCCCAAAGATTAAGGCTTTCTGGGAAATGATATATAATGAATTAAAAAGGGAGTTAAGTATACCTTCCCTAAGAAACCAGAGGCCTTTCTCCTGGGCATAGTCGGCCAAATGGTGTTAAAAAAGGATAGAAATTTCTTTATGTATGCAACAACAGCAGCAAGAATACTCATCGCAAAGTATTGGAAGACACAAGAACTTCCCACACTGGAGGAATGGCAGATGAAATTTATGGACTATATGGAATTGGCGGAAATGACTGGTAGAATCCGTGACCAGGGAGAAGAGTCGATGGAGGAAGATTGGAAGAAATTCAAAGACTATCTTCAGAAACACTGCAAAATTAAAGAATGTTAGAGCGATGTTGGATTGAAAATAAGTGGTTTCCAGCTGTACAGGTTAAAGTTAATGATAGACTAAGATTAAGATTAAGATTAAAGATGTTTAAAGAAATGGAAATTTGATATTAAGAGGGAAAATTATAATGTTATATGATACTAAGACCAAGGATTAGGTTTAAAGAAGTTGAAGTTATATCTTTTAATATTTTATTAAATTAAAGTTTGGGATTAAAAGAGTGGAAAAGAAACTGCTGGACAAATAACTTGGATTGGAATACAAAAGAGGGAGGTATGAGGAAGTCCAGAAAATAAGTAACTTAAAAATGGAAATGGAAAAGAGATATTGTTTTTCATTGTTATCTTTTTTTGTTTTTGTTTTTTTATTGTTGAATTTTGTGTTGCTTTTTGTGTGTGTTGTTGTTATATGTATTGTGTATGTTTTTTTTCTCTTTTTTATTGTCTAAAACCTTAATAATTTTTTTTTTTAAAAAAAGAATCTCCCCAATAACACCAATCCTTTCAACCATCCAAACTGCCCTGCCAACCCTTCCACGAAATGGTAATGGAGGAATACAATGGCTATTGACAATCAGAAGCTGATCCCGCCTCGTTTCCTTTCCTTTGTCCTATTCTACAACTATCACCCTCAGATCCTACAATCTTACGACTGTCTGCTAGACACGGGGGCCACCTATTCTACTCACAGAAATAGTCACTTGACCCCAGGAGAGGAAACCAGGACTGTAATGGGTCTGGACGGGATACCTAGAGTTTGCCCCCTTTCCAAGGCTGCCAAAGTGTCAGTTGGACCTTTGTCCGTTAAGCACACTTTTTTTATTACCTTCTAGCCCCATCAAACTAAATGCCACCATTCAATGTGGACAGGAGAGAATTTACCTGCATATGCCCAATGAATCTATCTTAAACTTCCAAGGAATCTTACAAGAGACGAATAATAAAGATCTGGATCTTCCCCCTGAGCTCCTAAATGGGGTGTTCCCCCCCAGCTATGGGGAACTGAATCCACATCGGTTGGACTCCTGAACTCCGCCACCCCAGTAGAGGTGAACTACAGGAAAGACCTGCCTTTTCCCTGTACCAAACAATACCCATTACCGAAGGAGGCAATAGAAGGACTTACTCCGATGATAGAGGAATTCTTAAAAATGGGAGTTCTAGTTCCCTGTGCTTCCCCTTGTAACACCCCCTTGCTCCCCGTCCACAAACCCCACACGAACCCTGTAAAATGGTGCTTGGTTCAGGACTTGAGACTTGTGAACTCCTTTGTCATTCCCCGCCACGCTGTGGTGGCAAATCCTCATCACCTCCTGAGCTCAGTTCCGGAGGGAACTGTAGTTCACTCCGTTATTGACTTGTGTTCTGCTTTCTTCAGCATCCCAGTGGATGCAGAAAGCCAATTACTCTTTGCCTTCATCTGGCAAGCTGGAAAATTAACATGGACGCGGCTGCCCCAGGACTATGTGGAATCTCCAGCAATCTTCTCTGCTATACTATATCAGGATCTGCTAGACGTCACCCTCCCAAAAGGGTCCGCCCTCCTTTTGTACGTTTATGACATCTTACCATGTGGGTGGGACTTGGAATCTTGTAAACTGGACACCATAGCTCTTCTCATGGCATTAGCGCATAAAGGACACAAGGTATCCCCAAATAAAATAAAGTATTACTAAAGGGAAATAAAATACCTTGGTCACATCCTAGGAAAAGAAACCCGTGCCTTAACAACAGACAGGATAGAGGCCATAACAAAACTACCCCTCCCCAAGACAAAAAGGCAACTTAGAGGCTTCATTGGAATGAGCGCGCCTGGATCCCCCGATATGGACAATTCACCCGTCCCCTCACCGCCATGACTCACGATGATGCCCCAGAACAACTCATGTGGTCTGCAGAGGCACTTGAATCCTTTGAATTCATCAAACGGGAGTTAAGATCCTCCCCTGCCCTCGGGCTCCCCGATTATCGGTTGCCCTTCTCCTTGTTCATACATGAAAATAAAGGAGTGGCCTCAGGTGTCCTCACACAGCCATTCCGAGGAAGGAACAGACCAGTTGCCTATTACAGCCTCCAGTTAGATACCACTGCAATGGGGAATGTGGGGTGCCTCAGAGCGGTAGCAGCAGCTGCACTACTTTTAGAGAAGGCACAAGAAACTGTAGTAGGACACGACCTGACCATAAACGTTCCCCATGCCGTGGCCACCCTCTTTTAACCTACGGGGGTGCCAATGTTTCACCATACAGAGACTAAATAGGTATGAAGCCATCCTCCTGAGCCCCTCAGACGTAATGATCAAAAGGGTAAATTCCCTTAACCCAGCGACTCTCCCACCTCTCCCTGATGATGGGTCGCCACACCATGATTGCTCCCAAGTAGTTCGCCATGCTGAAAAACCACAAGAGGATCTGGACTACCTTCCCTTGGAAGATCCGGACCTCGTCATAGATACAGATGGGAGCTCCAAAGTAGTGGGAGAGGAGCGCAAAAGTGGTTATGCAGTAATAACTGATACTGACATTCTAGAAGCATGCCCCATTCATGCCAGATACAGTGCACAGGCAGCAGAACTAATTGCCCTTATCAGAGTCTGTGAAATGGGGGCGGGACAAAGAATTATGATCTACATGGGCTCGAGATATTATTTCGGACTGGTGCATGCCACAGGTCAAATTTGACTCCGGAAGGGTTTCTTAACAGCTGCAGGCGCAAACATTGCCCATGCAACTTTAGTCGAGCGCCTGGTGAACTCCACACACCTTCCCGCTGCCAAGGTGGTGGTGCACTGTAAAGCACACACAAAGGGAAAGGATCTGATCCCAGTCAGAAACCGATGCGCTGATCAGGCAGCACAGGAAGCGGCTTTATGGCCCCTACCACCGGACAATGGATTCCAGGGAGCACAATTACCTTCTGATGTTGATTTCGAACTAATGTATAAAACAGCGACTCCAGAAGAACTAGAGGGATGGAGGGAACAGGGGGCTGTTTTAAAAGGCGGCATTTGGTACCTCCCCGACAAAAAACTCTTGATGCCGAGACTCTGTGTGCCAAAGCATCTAAGAATATTACACCAATGTACTCGTTGGGGAAGGGACAAGCTTGTGGATAGTATGAAACGCTGCTGGTATGCGCCAGGACTAGCCCTCGCTGCAAAGGCTGCAGTTTAAAATTGCCATACCTGTCATGCCTTCAACCCAAAGCACGCTGCCAGAACCCCACCGGGAGCTAGACCATGGGCTTTTGTTCCATTTGAAAGTCTGCAAGTGGACTTCAGGTTGTGGCAAAAGCCTTGTTACATGAAATCATACCACCTTTCGGGGTCCCAAGGCACATAGACAGCGACAGAGGATCCCATTTTACATCGGATGTGGTCCAACAAATAGCCAAAGCATTGGGAATTTAATGGAAAGTGCATACTCCGTACCACCCACCGTCCTCCGGCCAGGTTGAAAGAATGAACCAGCAGCTCAAGTCACAATTAGGGAAACTTTGTAAAACCGCCGGATTGAAGTGCGTCAATGCTCTCCCCTTGGTACTACATAACATAAGAGGGTGCCCCAGGGGAAACCTGAACCTTTCTCCGTATGAGCTACTCTTTGGGAGACCTTCCCCTGTGTACAACACCCAATTTCCCCCTTCTGAACTAGAGGTGGGAGAATCAGAACTAACTCAATATGTAATCCAGCTCCAGAAGCAATTGATTACTCTCCACAGGTATGCAGCTGGGAGTCAAAATATATCCCTGGACGAGAAGATCCACTCTTTCCAGCCGGGCGACTGGGTATTGACAAAGACCTACCACAAGGTGCCGTTGGAACCCACCTGGGAGGGACCCTATCAGGTATTACGGACTACCCCCACTTCTCTTAAGGTAGCGGAAAAGTTGGCTTGGCTTCACCACACACGCTGCAAAGCTGCCCTTCCACCCACTGACGCCACAGACCAGGACGACATCCCTACGATCTACGCCACCCCACCACAACCCAGGGACGACAGCGATTCCGAGGACCTCCCACGGACTGGACCAGTTTGGGGCACGGATCGAGCCCAACAGACCGGACCAGTTCAGCAGACCGGACCAGCTCCACCTACAACAACGACCCACCGGACATCCGAAATACTTCCCACCGCAGACGATCAAGGGAGACCCCCAATTTGCCTCCTACTACGCAAAACAACACTGCTTTGACAGCTCCTGTTTGACAGCTCCTGTTTGACTCGCCGCTCTGACAACCCACCACTTTTGACAGCTTACATTTCCCGCCTCATCCTACCGCCCCTACTATCCCCCATGATTTCCATCAGTACCAGTCCACTTTTCTGCTTATCTTTTCTCCTCACACCCTGCATTTTCACTACCTTTCTTCCCTACTCCAAGACTGCCATACCCACAAACCCCCAACACCACTGGTGTCCGGGACTACAAGTTGAACAACAACACCTGGATTTTGGAATTGTGGACATGGTGAAGAAGGGGTCATTAGACCGGTTGGGTGACTTTGACTTTTGCTCGCCAGAAACCCGTGTTCTCCTCTGCTACTTGGTCTTACCAACCTTGACAACCCACCAGACCCGGGAGCTATTCATCTGCTCACCAACTTATACCCTCCTAGAGAAACTCATCCTAACCCGCGATAAAGCTTGGAATCAAGCCCAATGCTTGAATGGCTCCTATACACTTTTTTCTGATGGCGAAGTCTTCCAACCAATTAACTGGACATTACTGGACAATGGGGGAGGAGAGTCTGTTTATACAGACCGGAATCACCCAACCGACCGCCTGATCCATGGATTTTATTGCCAACGTGTCGACTCCACACCCCGACCCACTATCCTCCAAGGGGTCTGTCTATGGAGATTCTGCTGTGTATGGGACATTGGTCTGGCCTCTACATGGGAGGGCAAGGCCTACCTGGAAGGCTGGTACCACTCCACTACTGGCCCCGCACCCACAGAGTGGGACACTACTGGCCCACAAAGGTGCGGGGGACTGGCTGCAAACCTCACCTATCTATACCACCAATACCCCTTGCATCCCGTAGGCACGGCACCCCGACAAAGGGGGGAACTGTTGGTGTCAAGTATACCTACCAATGAAGACCTCCTCTCCACTTGGCCCTCCAATTCCTACGTAAAACTCGTCTCAAAAATTGCCAAGCAAGTGACCTTGGACAACTGCTGGATCTGTGCAAATGCCCCAGCTCATGTCCAAAGTGGCATTCCCTTCCTTGGAGTGCCCCTCACTTTACAACAACACCTTTTCGCCAACGTGGAATTTTGGAATTTAACCGCAGTGAACTTGACCCATCAATACATCTACTTGACTGGACCTACCAATGGGGACCTGTGCCGGAAATTCAGTGGCGAGGACAGGATGATCGGAGATAGTACCTGTAAGTACACCGTTGACATTACTTTGTCCGGTAGAATAACTCCCTTCCCTGTCAACGTGTTTTGGGGAAGGTGAGTCTCTGTTGCACATGCAGCCAACTTGCTCCTCTTGCCAGAAACAACAAGCCTGTGAGCAGCCAGCCTGGGAGGGGCTCTGGGAAGCAGGGATGGAGAGGGGAGGGGAGAGGAGAGGAAGATCTTGCTGCAGGTTGATGACTGTGCTGGTCCCGGGGGTAAGGTACCTTGGGTGTAGCAGAGTCCACACGAAGAGGGGCAAGGTCCGAGGCAGAGAGCCGGGCGGGGAACAGGAATGCTGGAACAGGAGGCTGTGCAGGGAACAGGAACACCGGATGGTCGGGAACAGGAGGCCGAGCAGGGAGCAGGAGTACCGGATAGTCAGGAACAGGAAGCCGAGCAGGGATCAGGAACACAGGAAGGTCCGAAGCCAACAACGACGTTGCTCCCGCAACCTGGGGCCGGGCTGACTGGGCTTTTATCCTCTTCTAAGGCCAGGGGCGGTCCCGGTCCCCAGGAGCCCCGCCTCCTCTGGCCTTAAGGCGAGCACTCCTCCTGGGGGCAACCAGTTCCCTTCGCCTCTCAGCCCTAAGCCTCTGCAGATCAGGAGAGGCCGAAGGGTTACTGGGCCCTGGAGGAGGCTCACCTGTGGCCACTGAGTCATCAAGCCCCCTGGGGCCCGAAGGGCTTCACCTGGGGCCAGCTCCTGATGCACTGCCACAGGTGCAGGCTCTTCAGCATCAAGGCCTTGCCCCAGTTCAGCCGGCCCTGGAGGCGGGGACTCCTGTGCAGGCCGGGATTCCTCTGTTTCATCCTCCGAATCGGAATCCCAGGCCATCACACCATCCCCATCCCAGGCCCCCCCCTCAACCGAGGGTCCGGACCCGGCTTGCCGGGATACGTCGCATGGAACTCTCGGAGGCAGGCAGGTGCATGGACATTGGCCGCTGGTTCCCAGGAACGGTCCTCCGGTCCGTACCCCTTCCAGTCAATGAGATACTGCAGCTTTCCCCTGCGGTATCGGGAGTCCAGGATGCGTTCCACCTCGTACTCAGGCTCTCCCGAACCAACACTGGCTGCGGTCGGGGACGGTTCTGGTGGAACTCGTCGGGTGGGGCCACCGGACTCAAAAGGGACCTGTGGAAGACCGGGTGAACCTTCAGGGTTGCGGGTAACCGGAGACGGAATGCCACAGGAGAGATTTGGTCTACGATAGGGAACGGGCCGGTGAAGCGGGCGTCCAACTTCCGCGAAGGTCGAGAGGGGTGGAGGTGGCGAGTGGAGAGCCAAACCAGGTCACCGACGCGAGTTCCGGCCCCACCTGGCGGTGGCGGTCGGCCTGGGCTTTGTACGCTTCCTTGGCCTGGTGCAGTTGCTCCACCAAAAGCTGTTGCTGGGACTGGAGCTCTTGAAGCCACTCCGTCACCGCCGGGACCGCGGATGCCGGCAGCACCTCTGGAAACAGCCGTGGATGATAACCATAACTGGCCTGGAACGGGGTCTGCTGGGTGGACGCATTCACCGCGTTGTTATAGGCGAACTCCGCCAATGCCAGGTGGTCGACCCAGTCATCCTGCTGGTAGCTGCAGTAACACCGGAGGTACTGCTCCAGCACCGCGTTCGCCCGTTCCGTCTGGCCATCGGTCTGTGGGTGGTAGGCTGACGAGAGGCAGACCTCTGTCCCGAGGGTCTGGTGTAATGCTCGCCAGAACCGGGATGTGAACTGAACGCCCGGTCGGACACCACGCGCTCAGGTAGTCCATGCAGGCGGAAGACATGCTGAAGGTACAGCTGAGCAGTTTCCTTGGCTGTGGGTACAGATGGACAGGGAGCGCAGTGCACCATCTTGGTGAAATGGTCGGAGAAAACCAGAAGGCAGGTACAGCCACGAGACGAGGGTAAGTCCACTACAAAGTCCAACGAAACTGTGTGCCAAGGGCGCGGTGGAACTGGCAATGGCTGAAGTAGGCCGGGGGTCGCCCGGTAGGCCCCTTGGCGCGTCGGCAGACATCACAACCAGCAACGTAGCGAGCCACGTCAGCCTTCAGGCGGGGCCACCAAAACTCACGACTGACCAGATGGGTGGTCCGATACCGTCCAAAGTGCCCCGCTGCCGGGGCATCATGGGCCATCCGGAGAACCTCCAGCCGCAGTGGCCCTGGCGGGATGTACAGACGACCGTGGTGCAGCAGGAGGCCCTGATGCAGGACCAGCCCCGGATACTGTGGGCTGGACCCTTCAGCCAGCTCCCGGAGTCGTTCCTGGGCCCAAGCGTCGACCCGCTGCTGTTCCCGCACCCGAACCTGCAGTGGCTGCGCCTCCTGGGTGGCCAGGAATGCGGCCGGAGGTAGGATCGTGGCGGGTTCTGCTTGCTGTACCGTGTCTGCGTTGTCTTCAGGTTTCCGGGACAGGGCATCCGCCTTCAGATTCTGAGAGCTAGGGATGTAGCGGATCCGAAACTGGAACCGGGAAAGAACAACGCCCACCGGATCTGTCTTTGGTTCAGCTTGCGGGTGGTCTGGAGGTACTCCAGGTTCCGGTGGTCGGTTCTTACCTCCACCGGATGTCGTGCCCCCTCAAGATGGTGGCGCCAGACCTCAAAGGCTACCTTGATGGCCAGTAGTTCCCGCTCCCACACAGTATAGTTACGCTCCGCTGGTAGGAGCTGGCGGGAATAGAAGGCACAGGGTAAGAGTGGCGCTTCGGGCCCAATCTGTTGAGACAAGACGGCACCGAGAGCCGTACTGGAGGCGTCGGTCTCCACCACAAAGGGTCGAGAGGGGTCAGGATGTTGTAAGATTGGTGCCCTCTGGAAACAGGCCTTCAACCCCTGAAACGCCTCCTCTGCCTCCTTGTCCCAGGAAAACGGCGTCTTTGGGCGCAGTAGCCGGGTCAACGGGGTGGTGCGATGAGCATAATCAGCGATGAAGGTCCGGTAGTAATTGGCGAACCCCAGGAAACGTTGTAGGTCCTTGCAGTTCCGGGGTGCCGCCCATTCTTGAACCGCTGTCACCTTCCCGGGTCCATTTGCACCCCATCCGGAGAGAGCCGGTGACCAAGGAAGTCCACAGTCCGCTGATGGAACTCGCACTTGCTGAGCTTTGCGTACAAACGGTGCTCACGCAAGCGCTGCAGCACGGTCCGGACATGTCCCTCATGGCGAGCCGGGTCACGGGAGTAAATCAGTATGTCATCCAAATACACCACCACGTACTTGTCTAACAAGTCCTGAAACACGTGGTTGATGTAGCGTTGGAACACAGCAGGCGCGTTGCACAACCCGAAAGGCATAACCAAATATTCGAACTGCCCGTACCGGGTCCCAAACGCTGTCTTCCACTCATCCCCGGCTCGGATCCGAATCAAGTTGTAGGCCCCCCGGAGGTCCAGCTTGGTGAACACCTGTGCCCCTTGCACCCGCTCCAGCAGCTCCGAGATAAGGGGCAAGGGGTATCGGTCTGGGACGGTAATTTTGTTCAAGGCTCGGTAATCATGGCAAGGGCGGAGTTCCCACATTTCTTCTTAACGAAAGCACTGGTGCCGCGGTAGGCGAGGTGGACGGCCCTAATGAACCCACGCTCCAGGTTCTTGCGCAAGAAGTCCTGCAAAGCCACGCGCGCAGGCTCTGTTAGAGAATATAAGCGACTCACTGGTAGAGGCGCTCCGGGTTGGAGGTCTATGCCGCAGTCAAAGGCCGATGCGGCGGCAGCTGGTCTGCCCCCCCGTTCCTCGAACACGTCCTGGTAGTCCTGATACACGGCTGGGAGCGTGGGTGCTGCCTCCTCTGAGGGCGCGGCCGCCAGCGTCCCGGATTGAGCATGGGAACATGGGTCTGGGAAGTGCACGGTCCGTTTGACCCAGTGAATCTGAACGTTGTGGGCTTCCAGCCAGTCCATCCCGAGCACCAGGGGAAGCGGGGCATAGAGGCAATGTCCAAAGTTCGCAACTCCCGGTGCTGCTGGAAACACAGGACCAGGGGCTGGGTCTCCTGAGTAACGGCACCTGAACACAGAAGTCGTCCGTCAATCGCTTCCACCTGGACCGGTACTGGCTTGTTCCGAGTGGCACCTGATGATGGGCGGCAAAAGCAGCGTCCATATAAGAGCGGGTTGCCCCTGAATCCACCAAAGCATGGGTGGGGATCCAGGGCCCACCTGGAGGGTATAAACGTACCGGAACCATAAGATGTTGCGAGTCCATTGATGCAGGCCCATTCTGCGCGGTTTGGGACCCCCGGCAGCTAGGGCCATCAGCTACTGGGGTTGGCGGTTTCCCTGCGGCTGGCGTTTCTCAGGGCAAGACCGAGCGAAGTGTCCACTTCCGCCACAGTAAAGACAGAGATTTCCCTCCCGACGCCGCGCCTTCTCTGCGGGGAAAGGCGTGGCCGCACTGCCCCGAGCTGCATAGGCTCCTCCGTTAAATCAGTTGTGACCGTGGGGCTGCCGGAAAAAGCTGGTGCCGTGAACTGGAAGTGTCGGCGACCCCGGGCCTGACGACGATCCTCCAACCGGTCGTCTATTTGTAGACTCCGTTGAATGAGAGTGTCTAGCGTGGTGGGGCGTTCCATTGTGGCCAACTGGTCCAGTACCTCGTCCGAAAGCCCTTCGAGATACTGGTCCCGCAGTGCCGAATCATTCCAGGTCAAGTCCTGTGCCAACAGCCGAAACTCCGTGGTATATGCGGCCACCGTGGACTTGCCCTGTTTCAAACGCCCGAATCGCCCGGTTGGCTTGACTCCCTTTCTGGGGGTTGCCGAGCGCGGCCTCCAAACGATTGCAAAACCCCGTATAGTCTGCCAGCAAGGGGAGTCTTGCCTGAGTAGCGGCAACGCCCACTTGGCCGCCTGGTCCTTTAACAAACTAATCAAAAAGTGCACCTTGGTGCGATCGTCAGGAAAGTTCCGGGCTCGCCCCTGAATATACAGCTTGGCCTGGGCCAGGAACATGGGAAAGCTGGCCGGGGCTCCATCAAATTTCTCAGGCAAAGCCACTGGGTACTTGCCAGGAGCCGGGCGTCGGCCCCAGGAGCCGGTAGGGCTTCCAAGCGTTGTTGAAGTGCCACAACCGCGTCACTGAGCTGCTGCACGGTGTGAGTCAAGGCCTGGTTCTTCTGGGCCAAAGCCACCAGTGCAGCCGCCTGGTCAGCCATGGCCTCTGGCTCTTCCCGAACGCACCCCTACGAAGGGGAGTGCGGGTTGGGCGGGAGCAAACTGTGCTGGTCCCGGGGTAAGGTACCTTGGGTGTAGCAGAGTCCACACGAAGAGGGGCAAGGTCCGAGGCAGAGAGCCGGGCGGGGAACAGGAATGCTGGAACAGGAGGCTGTGCAGGGAACAGGAACACCGGATGGTCGGGAACAGGAGGCCGAGCAGGGAGCAGGAGTACCGGATAGTCAGGAACAGGAAGCCGAGCAGGGATCAGGAACACAGGAAGGTCCGAAGCCAACAACGACGTTGCTCCCGCAACCTGGGGCCGGGCTGACTGGGCTTTTATCCTCTTCTAAGGCCAGGGCCGGTCCCGGTCCCCAGGAGCCCCGCCTCCTCTGGCCTTAAGGCGAGCACTCCTCCTGGGGGCAACCAGTTCCCTTCGCCTCTCAGCCCTAAGCCTCTGCAGATCAGGAGAGGCCGAAGGGTTACTGGGCCCTGGAGGAGGCTCACCTGTGGCCACTGAGTCATCAAGCCCCTCTGGGGCCCGAAGGGCTTCACCTGGGGCCAGCTCCTGATGCACTGCCACAGGTGCAGGCTCTTCAGCATCAAGGCCTTGCCCCAGTTCAGCCGGCCCTGGAGGCGGGGACTCCTGTGCAGGCCGGGATTCCTCTGTTTCATCCTCCGAATCGGAATCCCAGGCCATCACAATGACAGTGAAGACCTTTAGCGTTGTATTTTTAAATGATGTGTAATTGGGCGTTTATACTTAGTGAACCTCTTGGAACCTCTCATTTTGTCATTCAATGGTGTATAAATTTTAAAATAATTCAAAATGATATCTGGTTATTTTCACCACAGGAAGTGTACGTTTAGGTGGTCAGAGCTTATCTGCTGTCAGGCTTTGGGGAATTGTATCCCTCCCCCAGTAAATAATTGTATCCCTCCCCCAGTAAATAATCAGATCAAATGAAAGCAGCGTTCTTACCAGTTGGTTCCTTTAATAATCACAGCCAGAGATAAGGGAATGCCCATCTCTCTGGAAATGGTGCTGCCCCCAGTCCAGGCTCACCCCCTCCGTCCCCATTAATATACGTCACTCCTCCGTCGCGTAATCTGAGCTTGCTGCCTCTGAGCCCTCTGTTCTATCACTCTCAAACCCTTCTAGTCTTAGGCGGAGGGGGGGGGGTCAAGCATGCTGTTCAAGGACACTGAATCTGCCAGCTCTATCTCTCCTGGTGTTTCCTCTTCTAGCTGTTCCTCACCCAGTTTCTCCCAGCCTTTCCCCTCTGGACTATGCCCCTCTGCAAACCACTCTTCTAATTCAATACTGTCCTCCTGCCCTTGAGAAGGTTCAGGAAAAGCGGGGGCTCCCACCAGCCCTCCTCAGTCCAGCCCCTGACATCTGCCTTCCAGTGTGTTTCCTTGGGCTGCCACATAAACTTCTGCAGTTGGCCTCTCCTTGTCCCGTGCTAATTAATGGTTCCTTGTCATCCTGGAAAGAGTGACAAGTTTTGTCAGGGTTCAGGGCATCCGATCCCTCCCACAGAGGCAGCCAAGAAGCAGGTAAACAAGAGGAGTAATTTATTCGATAGTTCACAGAGAGACACGGAAGAATGCAGTCTCCCTAAGATAGTGGCGTTGCTCTGAGTCAAGTCCCCCCCCCCCCGTCTCTCCTCTTCTACGCCACCCCTGTGTCGGCTAATCTGAGCCTTCTGCTTCTGAGCTTTCTCTTCTGCTCTCAATGCTCGCCTGGTCCTGGGAGAAGGGGGTCAGGAATGACCAGCTTGTAAAACACATAAGGGGACTGCACTCCCAAAAGCGAAGCCGACATTTAAAACAACGTACAGCAATAGCTTACATGTTAAAAAATGCGCCAAACACATAAACACATAAAATATTTGGGGAAAACTACCATAGGAAATTGGCCCAGAGTCACCCGTGGGTCTGGGTCTGGGGATTTTCTTGACGGACTAGTTGTATCGGGGGATGGTCTGCACCTACAGATCTGTAGACAGAATCTGGCAACCGTCCAGGTCGTCTTATGATCTTTACCTAAAAGGAGAAGATCATATTTGTGTTTTTCCGGGAGGTCAGCAAGACTCTTCAGCAAGTGGTCAATAGTATTGCTACGTGCCTCATTATAGAAAGGACATCTAAAAAATAGAAGTTCGGGGCTTCCTATCTCCCCCAATGGGCAGGCACAAAGTCTCTGGGCATATGGGACTTTTTTGAAGGATCCTTCCAGGACCGGGGAGGGCAGAGCCGAGCTTCTGGCAAGTGTAAAGGCCCTTCCTGCATTTTTGGATACAAGAAAATAGAGATATGCAGCCGGTTTCTAGAGTTTTGTAGTCGGGGCACCTTAGGCAGTCCTGTTGTCTCTCGCTGTCTATAATTCTGTGCCTGACCGTGGCTTTTGCTTGGCCCAAGCCCAGCCTTAAAAGGGCTGGAGGGGCAAAGCCCAGTTTCTGAAGAATGTTCAGGACAGCCAGCCTGACTGGAACTGGTCGCAAAGGATCAGTGGAGCTGTACCAAGGGGGAGCAGTTTCAGTGCCAGCCATTTGCAGATTGAGGTTAGGCTGATATGAACCTCAACTCTCATCATCCCCATTTCTAGTCTGACCCATGCATTTGAAACACATCTGGGGACTTGTACAAGGGCTCTAAGAAGTTCGGATTGAACTCTCTCGAGGGGGAGAAAGCAGAGGATGGCGGGCCTTCTGCAGCTGAGCTCTCTGTTCTGCCATCCTCAATGCCTGTCTTGTCTTGGGAGAAGGGGTGGGGTGGGGGTCAGGAATGCTTTCCAAAGACCCTGAGTCTGTCAGCTGTCTCTCGCCGGTGCTTCTTCTTCTTCCTCTTCCAATCTTCCCCAGCTTCTACCCTCCGCAGCCTCTGAACTACGCCCTTCGGAAAACACCTGATCCAAATCCATGCTGTCCTCCAGAACCAGCCAGGATGACCCAGATGAGGATCAGGAGCAGAAACAACAACATGACATTTAAGGTATCTTGTTGGAATCAGCCTGTGAAAAAGATTTTCAGTCCAGGAGGCTTGTAGTCGTGGAAGTTATTATAGGTTCATTTTCATCATTCATGACTTATGCAAAATAAAGAGAGATTTATATCGATGGAGCATTAAGCTAAAAACAACTGTGTGTGTTTCCTTTCTGCAGTGCTGGGTAGAATCAACATGCAATACTGTAAGAATCCAATGCCATCTTAAGTTCTTGTTCCCAGGTGCTCCTTTGTATTCAGATCAGGCCTCAGCAGAATAATGTAGCACTTGGGGAGGAAGATGCAGCCCAGGAGCCCAGCACTGGAGGCCAACATAGAGAAGATCTGCACGGCCACCATGTACTTGCCCTTGGTGCTCAGGTAGGTGGGCACAAAAGACACCCAAACACTGCAGAAGACCAGCATGCTGAAGGTGATCAGCTTGGCTTCGTTGAAGGAGCCGGGCAGCTTCCTGGCTAGGAAAGCCACAGCAAAGCAGATGGCAGCCAGGAAGCCCAGGTAGCCGAGGGCAACATAAAACATGACCACAGAGCCTTCGTTGCATTGCAGGATGATCTCTTCCGCCTGGGAGTGCATGTCGGGCTCTGGGAATGGGGAGAAGAGCCCAGCCAGATGGTGCAGATGAGAACTTGCACACCAGAACAGGAGATGACAATGGAGTTGGCCAGACTCTTCCCTAACCATCTCCTCACCCTGTTCCCTGGCCTTGTGGCCAGGAAGGCCAGCACCACCGTGATGGTCTTGGCCAAGAGAGAAGAAACAGCAACGGAGAAGATGATGCTGAAGGCTGTTTGTCGGAGAAGGCAGGTCGCTATTCTTGGTTGCCCAATGAAGAGGAAGGAGGATAAACAGGAAAGCAGAAGGGAGACGAGCAGGATGTAGGAGAGGTCCCGGTTGTTGGCTTTGACTATTGGGGTTTCTTTGTATTTAATGAAGATTCCTAACACAATGCCTGCTGTAGAAGATAAGAAGAGGACAATGGAAGCTAAGGTGATCCCCAGATGTTCTTCATAAGCCAGGAAGGTGATAATCTTGGAGACACATTGATCTCTGTCCTTGTTTGGATGCTGATCTTCTGGGCATTTGGTGCAACGTTCTGCATCTGAGGAAGAGGAAAAGAGTGGCTTCAGCATCCCTTACATCCATGACTACCTGCCCTCCGGAAATAAGAAGGTGTAAAGAGGTAAAGAGTGGCAAGAAATTATTTGTTCCTTTTCTGCAAAGGGCACCCTTATATCTTACATTTCCTCGAACGAGGTGATGCCCAAGGGTTTTCTCATTATGCTCACTGCAGCAACATCGTGTCAGGCGGCTGCCAGCAACTCCTTCTGCTCAGAAATGTACAAAGACAAGGGATGTTCGTACCACCCATTTTTTATTCAGCATATACAGAGAGAGGCTATAGAACCCAGCCTCTTGGATAATGGCGTCATCCCAAGTGAATCTCCACCCCCCCCATCTCTCCTGCTCTACAGGTGCTGATGTTTGCCCTCTGCCTTTGAGCTCTTTGCTCTCCGGCTTTCAAGGCTTGCTGGGTTCAGGAAGGCTTTCTAAAAACATTGTGTCCATCAGCCGTCACCCTCCTGGTGCTTCCCCTCCCTCCACCTCTCCCCTTATTCCCCAGCTTTCCCCCTCATCTGCCTCTGAGGTCCCTCAAACCCCTGTTGTAATTCTGAACTGTCTTCGTCTTCTCTGGTCAGAAGGGGGAGGCAGTCTCCACCATTCCTCCTCTGCCCAGGCCCTGACAAATGGTGATCTAGGATCTACTGAGAGGCAAAGACTTCTCCACATCAACTGCGTTCTATGTTTTCTGCATAATTCTGAAGACATGTCACTTGACCTTGACCTTGTTAAGGCAAATAGTTTTCTGTGCTTCCATGCAATGCTTCTGGTAGTGAGATCAGAATGTTCCCTCTCTTGTAATCCTTCTCACCCACCTTCTTGGTTGGACATGGTTCCTTCCGCACAAGGATCACAACCATAGCAGCAAACAGGCTTTCCTTCTGGAACCACCTTTGCAAATCCAGGCTGACATATTTTGCTACACCTGGAACGAGGCACGGCCTAACCATGAAGATAAGAAGGTGCATGGAAAATCAATAAAATTATAAGGGGGGGGGGGAGATGCATTGTGGAGAAAGTGTTAGGGGTATTTGTGTGTCTGGATTTCACCCACATAGCTTGGTAATCAGCCAACAGGATCTCTTGTCCCCCTGACCTCGTCCACTTTCTGCATAGAAGCAGCATTCTCCAGCCCCGACCCTGAGGTCCAGCTCCGAGGGCCTTCTGACGGTTCCCTCCCTGGGAGAAGTGAGGTTACAAGGAACCAGGCAGAGGGCCTTCTCAGTGGTGGCGACTTCCATGTGGAACAACCTCCCATCAGATGTCAGGGAAATAAATAACTAGCTGACATTTAGAAGGCAGCTTGGTACAGAGAAGTATTAAATATCTGAGGTTTTATTGTACCAATTGGTTTTGCCAAACTTAGGATTCTCCCACATGTCAAATCTCAGGGTGCACATGCCTGGGTGTAAGTTTGGGGAGTTACAAAAAACCAGCCTCCTTTGATGCTGGGGTGTGTGGGAGGTGTGGGAAGGAGAGAGAAAGAGAGAGAGAGAGAGAGAAGAGAAGAGAAGAGAAGAGAAGAGAAGAGAAGAGAAGAGAAGAGGGCTGGGTGCTGCTTTCTTTCCTCCTCAGGTGGACTGAGAGGGACCTGGCTGGGAAACATAGTCTGCCTTTTCTCAGGATGCCTGGGCGCTAGCGCATTCTTGAGCCTCCAGATTCCTCTCCCCTCTCAGCTGCTGTGGCAAGAAGGAGCAGCGCTGGCAGCTGAAACTGGGTGGAAAGGACACCATTGGTCCCCCTTATAAGGTCATTTGGCAAAAGAGGCTCCAGGAAGAGGATGAGCAGGATCTCCTAGTATTCTTCCTGGGTAACATCCCCTACCTTGTGAAACTTCTCAGGCCACTCAATGGCTTCTGGGTTGATGGTGAACTTGATGCCAGTAGATGCCTCTCTCCTTATACTGCCAATCTTCACTAGAGCACGAGACTCATTGGGAAACATCACCCAATTCATGATATCAAAGTCAGGAGGCAGCTCCCAATTCTCATCCAAACATATTGTGCCCCTGGAAGTATTCAAACACTGGATTTCTTTTAAGAAAGGGTGGAGCTGGAATGACAGGGAAAACAGCAGCATTTCATTGTTTCTCACTTGGAGCAAGTGGCTCTCCAAAATAAGATTAATGCAAAAGATAATAAAATCACCTGCCATGGCTGAAGCCTTCCCTGTTCCCATTGGGCTCCTTCTCCCACCATCAGCATCTGCCGTGGTCTAGATGAAAACGCAGCATTTAAGGCCTGGGCTGCAGCTTGAACATTGATGTAAGTGCCGTAGCTGTCAGCAGACAGGACTCTCTCAATATGCTCTTGGGGCAAAGACTCCTGTTCCTCCTCCTCTCTGCATCTTATCCAGCCTTTCGGGGATAAAACATGCTTTGCATATGAACAGTTAAATGCTTCATCCAAAAAATGGATAAGAAGACTGGACAGGGATTCATCATAACCACGTTTGGTGCTCCTTATTCTGGTCTTAATTGCAAAAGAGAGAGAACCATGAATGTGCTGGAAGAGTGTAGGAGGCAATATCAAGCCAGTGCTGATGCCCAGGAAAGCTGTTGTGATCCAGACTTTCCCCCCTATTTCTTTCTCATAATCCGTACATATTTCTATTATTAATAATATTTCCACTGTATCAGTTACATAGCAAACAAATACCCCAACTTGTCTCCATCTTAAATAAGCTTCACTTGGGTTCATCAGTGGAATTAATTCCTCTTCTGCCAATATTTTTGACAAGGCAACGCAGATCCCTCTTCTGATCATCAGAGGTGTCATAATGCTCTCAAACCTTTCTCCACTGTCATTGTCTGAAGCCAAGAGGCCAACCCACGTCCATCCGAAATGGAGGAGTAACTCGACGATCCCTTGGTACTGACTTTCGTCTTTGGGGAGCATCTGGTAGAGGAAAGGGAACTGTGTTTTATCTTCAAGAACCTGGGCTATGAAGCCATAACTGAGCTGGTGAGGAAAGAAAAGAGTAATTGTTTTGCTTTCAGGAAGGGAACAGATATTTAGTAATCTGAAATGATTAATATCTAACCAAAGTTGTGCTGCTGGGATCAATGGGAGCTTTATTCCGAAACAGCTGGTGGTGTCAGGAACTGTTCAGATGAGAAGAAGAGGTGGAGACCCTCAAGAGTCTTCCAGGGAGGGGGCAGAGGAAGACAGCATGGAGCCAGGTTTGTGGTGGTGGGAAAAGGACCCAGCCCAGAAGACGAAAAGAGCTGGGGAATGTTGGAAGGTGAGGAGCAAGGGCAAGGTAGCAGATTCACCAGCCCTGAAGAGAGACAGGAGTCAGATGCAGTGGAGACAAGATCAGAGCCAGTTGAGACTAGGTCCTCCTTCCTCCTTTCTCTAAAACCAGGCGTTTCACCCACATCACAGAGCAGAAAACGACCCAGAGGCAGAAGGGGTCCCTTGGCCGCCACCATAGGCAGCAGGAGGGGTCTGATATGCAAGCTGGGGCAAGGAGGAGGGGGCACACTGGGCAACAGCTCCAGCCTGGAGGGAACATACTTTGTGGTTCTCTGTCTGTTTTGCTTGATACTAAGAAGTGAAGGGATAAAGACGCTCTCTGCCTGCCTGGTTCCCCTTGCCAGTACTTTGCCTGTCAGCTCCCTCCCTGTCGGGGGGGGGCAAGTAGGAAAAGGCTCAGTACGTTCAAAAAAGAGTGTTGGATTTCACTTCATTTATTATATTTCTGGGCTGCTTTTCATTCACAAAATAATAATAATAATAATAATAATAATAATAATAATAATAATAATAAATTTTATTTATATCCCGCCCTCCCCAGCCGAAGCTGGGCTCAGGGCCGCTAACAACCATCAAAATAATCCAACATTCTAAAAACATTCATTATAAAATTAATTGAAATCAAATTAAAATAAAATTGATGGCAACCATTAAGCAAAATTCTGTGCAGATTGCCAGAGGAGGGGGTCAGGCTGCGCCCTGACCAAAGGCCTGGTGGAACAGCTCTGTCTTGCAGGCCCTGCGGAAAGATGTCAGGTCCCGCAGGGCCCTGGTCTCTTGTGACAGAGCGTTCCACCAGATTGGAGCCACAGCTGAGAAAGCCCTGGCTCTAGTTGAGGCCAGCCTAACCTCTCTGTGGCCTGGGATCTTCAGGATGTTTTTATTTGCAGACCGTAAATTTCTCTGTGGGACATACCAGGAGAGGCGGTCCCGTAGGTACGAGGGTCCTAGGCCGTATAGGGCTTTAAAGGTTAAAACCAGCACCTTAAACCTGATCCTGTACTCCACCGGGAGCCAGTGCAGCTGGTATAGTACCGGATGAATATGATCTCGCAGCGAAGACCCCATAAGGAGTCTCGCCGCGGCATTCTGCACCCGCTGGAGTTTCTGGGTCAGTCTCAAGGGCAGCCCCATGTAGAGCGAGTTACAATAATCCAGTCTGGAGGTGACCGTCGCGTGGATCACAATGGCTAGGTCAGGGCGAGAGAGATAAGGAGCCAACTGCTTAGCTTGGCGGAGATGAAAAAATGCCGCCTTTGTTATAGCTGTAATCTGCGCCTCCATAGAGAGGGAGGTATCGAAGATTACACCCAAACTCTTAACGGACGGTGCTGGCACTAATTGCACCCCCGCAAGAGATGGGAGTTGCCCCCTCAATCCCATATCGCCCCGTCCCAGCCAGAGGACCTCTGTCTTCGAGGGATTTAACTTCAACCGGCTCCCACATAACCATCCAGCCACAGCTTCCAGACATCTGGTCAGTGTGTCTGGGGCCGAGTCAGGATGGCCATCCATCAACAGATAGAGTTGGGTGTCATCGGCATACTGATGGCAACCCAGCCCAAAACTCCGGACAAGCTGGGCGAGGGGCGCATAAAGATGTTAAAAGCATCGGGGAGAGAATTGCACCCTGAGGCACTCCACACACCAAGGAGTGGCGCGATGACAATTCCCCCCCAAGCGCCACCCTCTGTCCCCGACCAGAGAGAAACGAGCGCAGCCATTGAAGGACTGTGCCCTGGATCCCCACGTCGGCAAGGCGGTGGTCCAGGAGTTCGTGATCGACTATGTTGAAGGCTGCTGACAGGTCTAGAAGAATCAGCAGCCCCGACCCGCCTCGATCCAGCTGCCTGTGGAGATCATCTGTTAGGGCGACCAGAGCCGTCTCGGTCCCATGACCAGCGCGGAAGCCAGACTGGAATGGATCGAGAGCCGATGTTTCATCCAGAAACCTTCCAAGCTGTTCAGCAACCGCTCTCTCAATCACCTTACCCAGGAATGGAAGATTCGAAACCGGGCGGTAATTGGATAGATCTAAGGGAACTAATGATGTTTTCTTTAAGAGCGGACGCACCACTGCCTCCTTCAGTTCCCCTGGAAATATCCCGGTGCCAAGGGACAAATTGATGATATCACCCAGGGGGGCCCGCACCTCGTCTGGACATGCTCTAATCAGCCAAGACGGGCACGGGTCAAGAGGAGAGGTGGTGGGCTTTCCAGCTCAGAGGAGTCTGTCCACATCGGCTGGGGATATCCGGTCAAAGTGGTCCAATACTGGACCCGAGGACAGTCGAGGGGCCTCCAGTTCCTTTATTGTATCCAAATTGGCAGGGAGGTCATGGCGGAGCAACAGGACCTTCTCCGCAAAAAGCTCGCAAATGCCTCACAGCTGTGTGTCAAATTGTTATTTAAATTTGGCTGTCCTTCAAGGGACGTTAAAGACCTAATTATACTAAATAATTGCGCCGGGCGAGAGCTAGCAGAGGCAATGGAGGCCGAGAAGTAGGACTTCTTAGCGGCCTTCACTGCCATCTCGTAGGTTTTCATAAAAACCCTATAAGATGTTCTTGAGGCTCCGTCACGGGCACCCCACCATACTCGCTCTAGCCGTCTGAGGTCCCGCTTCATTTTCCGGAGCTCCTCGGTAAACCAGGGAGCCCGGTTTCTG